CCCCCCCCCCCCCCCCCCCCCCGACCTTCTGCTCTGCTCTCCCTTCAGAGGAAGGGACCCTGGAGAAAAAACCAGCTTCCCCCTTGGTGCCCAGAGGCTCTGGAAACTAATTAGGAGAGAGCTGGGGACAGTTGGCTGATTAATGCTGGGGTCATTAGAACAGGGGTAGGGAATCTTATTGGGGTCGGGGGGTCACCGACCCACAGAAAAATCAGTCAGGGGACACACAAGTGAGAAGCAAAAAAAACCCAACCACACCAGCCCTCACTGACATGGCCCCTGACTGGGAAGGAGAAAGACACTCCCGACATTCCCCTTGCACACCAGAGCCTGGGGGCAGGGGGAGGCTAGTAGATTTGTGTGCTCCAGTCCTGTGGGGAGACGGCAGGGGGGCTGGAGCACTAGTGTGGGCTTCCCAATGCTGGGGGTGGGGAGCCCTGAACCTCGGAGGGCCGGATCTAGACAAGCCGGGGGCCGCAGGTTTCCCACCCCTGCATTGGAAGCTTGTTCCTCTCTCTGGCCATGGAGCGAGATTCAGGAGGGCTGTCGCCCAGACCCATGCGTGGGTGGGGCTGTCCCTGATGGGCGTTCTGGGGCTATTTGTCTGGCTCCCCTGAGCACCTTGAGTATGTATGTTTTAATCGTTGTTTCCAGTGACAACACTTAATGCCCTGAAGGGAACTGGCTGGACAGGGCCTTTGTTGTGGAGGTTGCTGGGAATGACAAGGCTGGTCCCTGCTTTGCTGTGGTTGAGGCAAACCGACTGTGTGGGAGACGGGGTTCTCCCCGTTACCTATGTAAGAGGGTCACCACGAAGCTGTAGCCCACGTGGGTCAAAGTGCTCCTGGAGGAGGGCGCCCCGGTCGTTAAAGGAGCCTGAAAACAGCTCCCTCTTGATACATGGTGGGTGCATATTCCTTGGGTTTGTTGTTCCCAGCAAAGAGTCCCAGCTGTGTGCAGGGCCCAGCGAGGCAGGCGTGGGATGCCGTGTCCCTGCCCGAGAGAGCTTGCAGGCTAAGCAGACAGAGCTGCCAAAGAGATGATGAAGGAACAGGACTTGCCCGAGGTCACCCAGTACGTTGGTGGCAGAGCCAGGTCTCCTGACTCCCAATCCTCTGCCCTACCCTAGGCAGCGACACAGAGACAAGAGCTGTCTGAGTGAGCAGACTCATTCCTCCTGCAGGGAGTCGGTTTGCTCCCCCTTAACCTGCCAAGAGGAATCCCTGGTGCACCAGCTCTGAGGAGGAAGGGAATCTGGGGAGATAATGATAGATGCCCTGCAGGCTCCTCCAGGGGTAATTATGGACTCCGCCATTCCAGGATTAATTAGCTGCCTTTCTCTTAACCTCTTAGCTCTTCTCAGAAGTTGTTATTTGCTATGAAAGGGAAAAAATAGGAAAAAAAATAACCCCCCTACCCCAACACACTGTTAATCAGCAGGGGTCTGTTTAATTGGATCTGCCATCGCTTACCTCCTCCCGCAGAGAGCTTTAACGCCCTTAAATGATAGATGAGAAGCAGCGGCGCCGGAGGGGATGCTGCCTGCCTGGGAGAGGGCAAAGCGCCTTGATGGCTGGACCCATGTGCTTCCTTCCACAGCGCAAGCCCCGGCCTAGAGCCACCCTCTCGTCCCAGAGCAGCGATGTACCGCAAAGGGGTCTCTTGTTTTAGGGATGGGAGGGAGAGACGCTTTACCCCGGAGGTGGCTCTGACTTTCCACCGGGACCCTAAAGATTAATAATGGCCTGTTAAACGTGCCTGGGAGTCTTCTCGGAGCCTGCCTCCTTCCCGCTAATCTCAAGGCTGCCCCTTGCCTTCCCTGCAAGCCGCTGCATGATGCTGGGGGACGGGGAGCATCATGACCAAACCCAGGTGGTTTTTCCGAACACGCAGCACAGCTCCTGCGCCTCTTTGCCTAGGGAGGTTGCTTCCGCGGGACCTCGGCTGCGCTGTTGTGGATGGTGGGGAGCACCAGAAGGCGCTGGAAGCCTTTGCAAAGGCGGGAGGGGAGGAGAGAGGGTTAACCGTTTCCACTATGGACCGTTCGTTGCTGCACAGCCGGCCCTAGTGCATCCTTCCCCGTTTGCCCCCTGCATCCTTTTGCTTCCGGTGACTCCTGCGTTCGGTAGCTTTCTTGCATTCATGCCCCAAAGCCCCATCTAAATGCATAGGCAGAGACGCTTTCCCTGCCCTGAAGAGCACACGGTTCTCCCCAGCTCTTCTTCCTTTTGCTTTTTTCACATCCACTCACTGTACAGGCAGACTCTAGATGTGAAATGCGGGGCATCATGGTATTGAAGCTGGCAGGAGCTTCCTGGTCTCCCCTTTTCCCTCCTCCCCATTTCAGGACAGCTGCAAGCCAGAAGAAATCCCCAATTGCAGCAGCTGCAGCACACCTAGGTGTAATAAGCCCGCAATGTGCATGCATTTTCTGGGTCTATGAAATTGCAGTCAAAGCACTGAAGGAGGCCTCGGCCTTCTTGGATTGGTGGTGGAGAAGCCCTCTCCAGTAGGTGGGTGGGGGGTGACAACATCCTCCTAGCACGTTCTGTCCCCGGCCCCCTGCTTGCCAGTTGCTTTCACTCTCGGCTCCGGGGCTGGGAGCCCAAAATATTTGGACTCCGAGTGGGGTCTGATCTGTCCCTGCATTTCCTGGCAGCTGTCGCAGGTGAGCAGCGTTTAGCTGTCCCCCCCCTCGGGCCAAAGGCCTCCCTCAGCCGGAACGAGGAGAAGAAAGTGAAATAAGTTTCTCTGCCCCATCTGGAATGGACTCCTGAATCCTCCCTCCGGGGTTAATATTCCAGGCTCTCCCGTCCTTCCTGCTTCCGGGAACCCGGGGAGACTTGCTTTGGAAGGCGCCCTTCCAGGCAGGATACAGCTGGAGCTGCCTGTCACTCCGCTGTCATCCGCACGTGGGGCTGCATTGCTGAATCCCAGCCATCATGCTGCTCTCGCTGCCCCGCCCAAGGCGATGGCAACAGCGCTAGTCATCACTGTGCCGACTGGGCGAAGAAGCCAAAGGAATGTCCGTTCTAAAATCTGTCTTGAGTTAAATGTGTTGGGCTTTTTTTTTCTTTTAACCCTGACAATCCGCTCGGAATAACTTAGAACAGGCCTTTTTAAGCGCCGGTTTATTTGGCCCCTGTGCTGCTTATTTCTTTAGTTTTGTCTCAGTTCCGCACAGAGGAGAAATCAGTGGCGTCATTTGCACATTTGATGTACAATCCGTTTCAGAGCCAGGTTCTCAGGGCGTCCCCCTGCACTGCAGAGGGGGGTGGGTAAGAGACAGCTGTTTTCCACTGGAAGTCTTTGTTTTGAAAACAAATGAATGGAAATATTTCCGTTCCTCTCTGCTGTGGGCCAGACATCTGTGGCGGGAATAGAGAGTCACCTGGATTCTCTTCCTGTCCCAACTCGACTGGCAAGTCCTTGATCCTGGGGCCCTCATTCTGCCTTGCTGAGTAGTTTAGACTAGCGCTGCTGATGCCCTTTATAGTGCTTTGAGATTGAGAGACGAGGGACCCGTTCTTCAGGTACTGGTTAGCAGCGTTGTTTGGCTGAGGTCAATGGAATTTACATTTCAAGCTGCTGGGAGCATGGAGACTGTCTCTTCTGTATTTGTACTGACTCAGTAGGGTCTTGGGGAGAGCCCTGCAAATCCACAAGTATCTGTGGATTTAGATATCCATGAATCATTTTTGCAGATGTGCATACATTTTTATATCCACGCAGGATCCAGTCCTGGGCCATGATGCACTCCTATGCTTTACATTAATATAAATAACAATAATAGACCCATTTCTGCTAGCTAACAGTCCAGCGTGAAATGGAATCAACTACAGGTTGAACCTCTGTAGTCCGGCACTCTCAGGACCTGACTGGTACCGAACCGGAGATTTTGCCAAACCACGGGAAGTCAATATTGTCTAGCAGCATCGCCAACACTTCCACTGCTTGCTGGGCTCTTAAAAGACATTGAGGGGTAAATCAGAGCTAATAACAGCACAGAACACTGAGAGCCAGGGCTGGTGGCTGTAAACCAGCTTTATGGGACTGTGGGAAATTTGGCCAGACCCATGATCGGTGGCCATCTGGTTAACTAAAACCATGCCGGACCATGGATGTTGCTGGACTAGAGAGGTTCTGTAGTGCTAAGCGTTGTTGCCACAAAGCAGCTTGTTCTTCCACAGCATAGATGTTGAGCTGGTTATGTCCCTTTAAGGTCCTGCCCTGAGATGGGGAAGAGGTGGGATTAAAACCTAGGGGTACCGGGCTCCAGTGCTCATTCCTAGACCTTGCTGCCTCCCAATATCTCTTGCCTAGGTGCATTCTTAGCACCGTAGCGCTCAGTCCCCTTCCAAGGCACGTGCATCGCTGCCCTCTTACTAATGACGATCTTTTTGTTTTAAATCTCTGTCTTGCAGCTCCCGTTGCCGCTGGTATCCAGGGAACCTTCCTCCTTCTCCAGGAGATACACGCTGGTTGTTGCTAAGGTCGCTTCCACGGTAACATGCACATCCTGTTTATACCTTTATCTGGAGAAGTTGGGCTCCACTAGTCACGCCGCCGGCTTCACCTGGGAAGCGGTAGAAGGAAGCACCTGCTTCCTCTTCCCCGTCTCCGGCACCTCCACTAGGATTCTCTTCTCTCTGCGGAGGCCTTGCCATCCAGTCCCCTACGGGGCCGTGGAGCTAAGGCTGCAACTGGGAGTTGCCACGGACCGTCTGTGTCCCCCGTGGGACTTTCAGGGGCGGGAGGTGGTCCAATAGGAGCCGGCGGGTGGTTGTTTTTTTTCCCGTACACGTCTGCTGCGACACCCGCTGCTCTGGCAACATGACGAACAACGCAGCCGACCACCATCCCGGGAACTCGGTCACCGAGGGCAGCCATGAGGGGGATTTTGGCTGCTCCCTGGTTGACCTGCGGACCCTCATGGAGCTTCGGAGCACCGAGGCGGTCACCAGGATCAATGACACGTACGGGGGCGTGCAGAACATCTGCAAGAGGCTGAAGACATCGCCAGTGGAAGGTAAGCGGCCAGGCTGGCCCAGGCGGTGTCGCAGAGAGGGGTTGACACGGGAGCTGTTTCTCCCAAGCACCCATGTGCTTTGGAGGGTCAGATGGGATCTGTTCCTGAGGATGTGCAGCCTTGTTAGGCCTACGCCGGCCAATTGGAGTCCTCAGGCTTATGGGCCGTGGGCGGTTGTGCAGCTCAGTAGCTGAGAGCGTCCGTCAGAGTGAATCATAGAACCATAGAACACTAGAACGCGAAGGGAGCTCGAGAGGTCATCGAGTCCAGTCCCCTGCCCTCATAGCAGGACCAATCACCATCTAGCTCTTCCCCGACAGCTGTCTGTTCAACCTGCTCCTAAATATCTCCAGTGATGGAGATTCCACAACCTCCCTAGGCAATTTATTCCAGTGTTTCACCACTCGGACAGGTAAGAAATTTTTCCTAATGTCCAACCTAAACCTCCCTTGCTGCAATTTAAGCCCATTGCTTCTTGTCCTAACATCAGAGGCCAAGGAGAAAAATTTTTCTCCCTCCTCATTGTAACACCCTTTTGCATACTTAAAAACCCCTCTCAGTCTTCTCTTTTCCAAACTAAACAAATCCTTCAGTCTTCCCTCCTAGCTCTTGTTCTTAGACCTTTCATCATTTATGTTGCTCTTCTCTGGACCTTCTCCAATTTCTCCACATCTTTCTTGAAATGTGGTGCCCAGAACTGGACACAATCCTCCAGTTGAGGCCTAGTCAGTGCAGAGTAGAGCAGAAGAATGACTTCTCGTGTCTTGCTCCTGTTAATGAATGATTGGGTGCATTATAAGTACCTCATGGCCCAGTCTGAGTTTGAGACCCCATTGTGTGGGGCGCTCTTCATATGCCAGGGGAGAACGGGTCCCTGCCCCAAAGAGCTTACAGTCTAACTCGACTGAACAGTACAGTCCCCATTTTGAGGCACACAGAGCTCAAGTCACTTCCTGAGGCGGAGAACCCAGATCTCCAGAATCCCAGACTATCCATTCCCATTCTCTTTGCAGCCTCCTGCTCCCTTCTCTGCCAGGCCCCCAGGGTGGGTGGCAGACTCCAAACGGCGGGGATGGACGAAGGGTTGAGTCGTTCAGGAAGCTGTGAGGATTCCTTCCTGCAGCTGTGCTGCTGTCTGTGAGCTTAGTGCCAGCGTTTCAGTAACAGATGCGGCTAACAGTGGGATAAGCCTAGGGCCGCGAGGGATGGCGGGGAAGGAGAGAGTAGGAACACCACTAGCCACAACCATCAGCCACGAGGCTGGAACTTGAGCAGGTCTTGTCACGTGTCCTTACCAAGCTAGCAATGTAGTGTCCTGAACAACTGCATAGGTCCCCAGCTGGTCCCCAGAGACAGATGCCTACGGGGGATACTTCTCCTTAGGACACACCCACTTACCCATTTTCAAGTGTCTGCATGAAAAACCAAGTAGCCTTTGGTTGAGGGGTGCTCTCCCCGGGCAGGTGTCCGAACCAGGCTGCAGCCCGAGGGTCTCTCCCTCCCCTGAACAGCCCCAGAATAGTAATGTGGTTCTTACGGTGTTAGAAAGCAATGCTGTGTCACGGGGCTGATTCTCGGCCACCTCGCAGGCCTGGCCGATGCTTACTAGAGTCCAGGTGTGTTTTACCATCATCCCTTATTTTTATTTCCTTAGTCCCATACTCTGTTTTTGAGGCCCCACAAGCTCGCAGGAGGCAGGACAGCTTCAAGGCACGCTGGGTAGCTGGTGGTCCTAGCAGAGGAAAGGCAGGAACAGACAAGGAAAGTGGCTTTTCACACCAGGGAAGTGTGTGGATCAAGGATTCCCAGGCACCAGAAGGAACTGGGCTGCATACGCTTGGCTATTGCTTGTGGTAGGCAGAGGGGATGGGCGCAGATGGCAGCTGCATTAGCAAGGGCAAGACTTTGAAATCCAGGCTTTGTCTTTCTCCACTTCGAAAACTTGCGGGTTATTCTTAGCACTCTCGTTTTGTGGTGTAAGTGCTGGATTAGCGCATTTCACAGCTGTGACTGGGAACGGGAAGGTGTGTGGGGGGGGGGGGGGGAAGACAACACAGATGTAATCAGAGAAGGGGGGGGGCGCGGTCTGTTTGGCAGTGCCAAATCCGTGTCACAAAGGAATGTGTTTTCCGTGCCAAACAGTGAGTGCACACATGTGGGGGGGTGAGGGCTACACCCCTCATGCTACACGGTGCTCTGCTTGCAGGGAAGAGTAGAAAGGCAGCTGTCCTATTTCCCTCAGTCTCTTTGCCTGTTGACTCTTCCTTGTTTCCAGACCTGCATATCCCTCCATCCCACGCAGCCCTGGTGTTGCTCTCACTTGGCTTTTTTTCTTTTTTTTCCATCCGTTGCTCCCATCACCCGGCGCCGAGGTTACAGCAAAGGCTGAAGGCTGGAGCTCTACATCCCTCTGTCTTTCCAAGTTCCCTGCTTTTCCTGTGATCCTCCCACATGTCCCTTTTTTTTTTCCTGTTCTTCTCTCACTTCTGGATCTCACATTTTCCGTCCTGGTTGCCGGTGACAACACGTTTTTTTACGTGATTGACGGCCCTGGTGCGAGAGGCATGTCCTCTGGGCTGGGGAGGAAACCAAACGCAGCAGCTTCGGGGACTATCACAGTGCCATTCCCCTCAGGCCCGGTGGCCTCCCAGTAAACCTCCTCTGTGCATTCCTCGAGAGAGAGAGAGCCTGCGCACAGCTTGATTCATCCAGATAATAGCACCTCAGTGGCTGGTCAGGGACCCTGGAGGCCCTGGCCCAGTGTGATATATTTAGTAAATGGTAATGCTCTCTGCAGAGAGAAATCTATGCTACGGGAAGGGAATGGACTCCCCTCCCTGGCAGCTTTGTGAAGCCAGTGGCAACTCCTGAAAACACCGATTTGGGGGGCCCTTTGTGCTTGAGAGCCCATCCTGGGACACTAAGGATTGAGGAGGAACTGAGCGCCCACAGTGCCAGTTGAAATTGATGGGAGCTGCAGGTGCTCTAATCTGTTGCATCCACGTGTGGATTTATTCCATCCATGTGTGGAATAACTTTTTGTGTGCACCGAGGCATGTGCGCAATGTGCACCACCAGTAGAAACAAAAGCGTGTGGGGGTGCTCTGCCAGTCAGCTGGGCAGCATTTGAAATGCTCCGGAATGGCTGCACAAGCGCCCGGCGTACAGGGAGCGCTGCTCAGCACCTGTGAAAACCCAGCCTGAGGGGTGTCGCGTTGGCTCCTCAGTGAAGGTTGAAATGGATTCCTGAGGCCTCCCCCCCATCCCCCCGATCAGTATCCATCTGTTGTCTCTGGGCAGGGACTCTTTCATCTGGGTCTGTACAGCGCCTGGCACCATGGGGGGCCTGGTTCGTGATAGGGATATGAAAATGTCAACGTGTACATGGTTAACCGATGGGCTCCTTGGTTAACCTCCATGGTTACACGCAGGCTCCCGGTATCAGCGCGGGGGGCAGGCAGGAGCACCATGGTTCACGGGGGCTTCCCCCACCCTCCTGCATGTAAACGTTCAGTGGTTACACGTTTACTTAATTAAATGCATTTTAATATTCCTTCTTCGAGATGGGGCTTGTAGATGCTACAGCAATGCAAATCCATTAATAATCCTTGGTAATGGGGGAGCATGCCATTTACAAAAAATATGATCAGCCTATGGAATGTCTAACCCCCCCTCCCCCTCCCCTCCAAGTTACTGGAGCCTCTGCCTAGATCTAGCATTTGTTTACTTTTGTATGGTAGGTACAGGCTAAGCCACGTTCAGGACCCGCCTCCCTTTATGAAGCCATCTCTAGAGCCGCCCCCTGGTTCACCTGCTGATTGCAAAGAGGTGGCGGTTTGCGCTGGCATGTTGATATGGCGGTGATGCCCAGAAGCCCGAGTCAGCAATGGGCTGGGCCCTGCACGTGCTTCAGGGAAGTCGTGGCTGGTCAGGAACCAGGAATTCATTTGTGCCGGCCACAGGCGGTTGCGAAAGAGGAATTCCTCTGACAATACACATTTGGTCCAGCTCTGCGCCCTGTGCCCCATGCCAATGCAACCCCCAGGGTAGGCCTTGGAGGGGGGGGAGTCCTGAACTAGCCTCCTGGGAGCCACGCCCCTTTGCGCATGCGTGAAATTCAGGTCCCCCCTCTGCAGCTGGGCCGTGTTTTGTGTCATGGGCTGGGCCTTGCAACTTCTGGGGAGTTCGAGCTCCTCCACAGCGTGGGCCCATCTTCAGTATCAGCAGGATGCAGGGATGAGACCAGGTTCGCCCACAGGTGGCTGTGCTGGCTGTTTCTGGACCTACATTTCTCTGGATCTTTATTCCGCCTTTGGGGGCAGCCCCTGGGCTTGTGACTTTGGCTGGGATGAGAAGGGCATGATGACCGAGGCTGTTCTCAGATCCTTCTGCTCCAAAGGCCTGGCCGAACATGGGGACCAGGACAAAGCTGCAGGACCAAGAGCAGGGTGGGGTTTCCGAGGACCGGATGCCCCAGAGAGCTGCGGGTCAGGGTGGAGGTGCAGCAGCAGTGAGCTGTGGAAGCCCTAGGATTAACATGGAAAGTCCTCTCCAGTTAGGAGGAAGTTACAAAAACTGTTTTGCCGATACAAGGTGTCCTCTGGGACATGTAAAATAGAGGAGCTCTCTGCAGGCAGCTCCTAGTACTGCTGAGTTCTGGCAGCCAGGGAACATCCAAGTCTAGGGTGTATCACTCCCTGCATCACATCTCTTCCCTGCATTGCAACACAAGGCACTTTGGGGCAGGGAGAATTCCCTGCATTGCAACACAAGGCACTTTGGGGCAGGGTGAACATCAGTGTTCCCTGTACGCTGAGCGCTTGGGCAGCCCCCTAGGGCTCGAGCTGATTGATTGGCAGAGTGCCCACAGCTACCCAGAGCCTGTGTTCTTACTGGTGGTGCACACCTACACATGTTTTGGTGCACACCACAACATTTATTCTGCACGAGAACGAAAAATATCAGCTGGAACATTGGAGAACATCTCTGTGTGCTAAATC